GCTGCCCTGGTTGACATGGTGACGCAACAGTTTGATGGTGAATCCGTGCACTGTCTCGACGTCGCGTCGCGTCAGCTCACGCACCGAGAACATGCACAGACGAGGCGGTGTGTAGCCGTGGGCAGACGTCGTCGGGCTGGTCAGACGCGACCGGCCGCAACTGGCGCCGGAGACGAGGCGGACGTCGCCGCGACGAGGCGCGTTGAGGCGGAGCGCGCCGACTCGGTCGAGTGGAGCGGACAAGTGGACGCGTCCCGTCGGCGCGGCTCGACTCGGCCCAGTCGCCGACGCCGAGACTCGAGAGAGCCGAGGCTCGAGGGCCGACGGCGCAGCTCGAGCCGCGGGAAACTGGGCCTGTGGGCCCGGTTCAAAAGCGGCGCGATCGATGCACCGACGACGGCGGACGCCACGAGGGAGTGTCTTGTGGGTCAGCTGCCACAATCGCTTTCAACCGCGGTGGAAATTGGTTGTGCTTTCTACTTTCCGTTTAGAAACGGGGCTTCGATGATGCTCATGAGATGACATTTTTGCGGGGGGACTTTCATTTCGTGGGAAAGCGAAGACAGGACAGAATTGTTGGTCAGTCTGACGACATGAGGACGGTGAATCTCGTGGTACTGCTGTATGACGACCGGCTCGGATGATGTACATCAGTTGATGGACGAAATCTCAGCATGTTTTCACTCGAAACCAACCAGGAAGTCAACATGAATATCGTCTAAAAGCCAAACGGCTGCAGAACAACGAGATTCATCCGTACTTTTCTTCTTCCTGCACTTTCATTCGAAATGAAGGTCCGCCTAACAAAGTTCTAGTTGCATAAAATACTACTAAAATGTAAATAGGTTTGATGCATTCATTGAAGTTCACTCGTCTTTGCCTCGCAACAACTTCTTCTCATTCCAGCTGGATTGGACTGCAGCTTCGACCTCGTCACCTCGTTTAACTGACACCCTCAGCCGGAATCGAGATTTGGTTGTACTAGTTTAGAGTATATCTTCCAAATCATGTTGCTAGGCCGCACTGCCATGACTCTTAATGACCCACAGAGCAAATGGGAATTTCATGGCATTGGATGATAAAGAATGGATATGAGTTGTATTCACGTGGACTGCGTCAACATGAACAAACGGCTGCGGTACAACGAGATTCATGCGTCCTCTTCTGGTGAATCTTTTCTTCATGCACTTTCATTCGAAATGAAGGTCCGTCTAAAAAAGTTCTAGTTGCATAAAATCCTACAAACATTAAAGTTCAATTTTGCTAAAATGTTGTAAATAGATCTGATGCATTCATTGAAGTTCACTTGTCGTTGCCTCCCAACAACTCCTTCTCATTCCAGCTAGTTCGGACTGCAGCTTCGACCTGTGCTAGTTTAGAGTATGTCTTCCAAATCATGTTGCTAGGCCGCACTGCCATGAGTCTTAGTGACCCGCAGAGCAAATGGGAATTTCATGCCATTGGATGATAAAGAATGGACATGAGTTGTATTCACGTGGACTGCGTCAACATGAA